ATATATACTCTTTGGTTTCAAGTTTGTCTATGTACTGAGGTAGGTTGAAGAGTTTATTACATAGGAACCAAAAGTACTGGAGACAACTTCGGAGTAATAGACACTTGCTAATTTAACTTAACATTAAGACTGGATATGTTTTATTTCTCAGAATACCAAAGGTAGTGTGGTGTGGAGTCCCCTTCCCCTCCTCTTTCCTTCCCTTTTCTCGTATCCCTCTCTCTCTCTCCTTCCTCTCTTCTTTTTTTCTTTCTTTTTATTTTGTTTTGTTTTGTTGGTGTGAGACAGTTTCACTCTATGGCCCAGGCTGGCCTTGAACACATGATCCTCCTGCCTCCAGCCTCCGCTGTACTAGGATTATAGGAATGTACTATCATGCCCAAACTTTTTAAAAGAAAAATACTTTCTGTAAAGAAGAATTGATCAGGCTTTGCAGATGCCGCTGTCGCTTGTGGTTACCAGCTGTGTTCTTGGACATTGCCACGGACCACAAGCCCTTGGGCTGCGTCTGCTTTGAGTTATTTGTAGACAAAGTTCCAAAGGCATCAGAAAACGTTCATGCTCTGAGCACGGGAGAGAAAGGATCTGGTTATAAGGGATCCTGCTCTCACAGGATCATCCCAGGCTTCGTGTGCCAGGGTGGTGACCTCACATGCCCTAAGGGCACTGGTGGCAAGTTCATCTCTGGAGAGAAATTTGAGGATGAGACTGTCATCCTGAAGCATACAGGTCCTGGCATCTTGTCCATGGCAAATGCTGCACCAAACACACATGGTTGCCTGTTTTTCATCTGCACTGTCAAGCCTGATTGGTTGGATGGCAAGCATGTGGTCTTTGGGAAGGTGAAAGAGTGTGTGGAAGTGTTAGAAGCCATGCAGGGCTTTGGGTCCGGGAATGGCAAGACCATTACCAACTGCGGACAACTCTAATACATCTGATTTGGTTTACTATAACCACCAGACCACTTCTTCTGTAGCTCAGGAGAGCACCCTTCCACCCCATCTGCTTGCAAGAGCCTGTCATCTTTGTGTTCTCACTGCAGTTCTTTGGGTTCCATGTTTTCCTAATCTCCCCTCCAAATCTAGCTGGATTGCAGAATTAAGTTTATGATTATGAATAAAAACTAAACAACAAAAACAGGAGAGTTGATCACTAGACACTATGTTGGAAATGAACTTTACAACGTAGGAAAGGAGGGGAGTTGGGGGGGGGGAAAGTGGAAGAAAATGAGGGAGAGGTAACACTGTTCAAAAAGAAATCTACTCATTACCTGACTTATGAAACTGTCACCCCTCTGTATATCACCTTTAAAGTAAAATTCAAATTAAAAAATAAAGAGTTGGTTACTATATATTATATGCATTATATAAATCATATCATATATATATAACATCTACCCTTGTCGTCTGAGCTGGAAAAATGATGCTCTGTGGTGAATTCACATTGCCATTGGCAGTAGCTATATAACGCATGAGCATGGGCTGGATAGAAAATGAGTTTTTCCTTATTTATTTTTGGAGGTACTGGAGAGTGAACTCAGAGCCTCACTCACATTCTAAGCAAGTACCCTACCATTTGCTTTTAGATTGCTTTTAAAATTAAGTCTCAAATACTTGCCCAGGTTGGCCTCAAATAGATCCTTCTATCTGTGCTTTTACCTGCTTTTCACCTCCATTCCACTCCAGTTCAAAACTTTTTGACTCTGTTACTACTTTTTGACTCAAGGTGCCTACTATATGAATGAAGCCTATCAAATGTGGAAAATAGGACTATTGTTAATAACTGAGTCTGTTATTAGACTGATCTTCCTGCCTCAGACTCTTAAGTGCTGGGATTATAATTTTGTATCACCATTCCCAGAATACGTTTTGTAAATTTATTGTCACATTTAGAATAGCAAACAAATGTGAATGTCCAACAATAGAAAAGAAGTTGAAGTCATGGAAATATGCAAAGATGTGTTTATTGACAAAGATGCTCATGATATAATGTTATCTTTTTTTTTCTTTTTTTTTTTTTGGGTCCGGTCATGGGGCCTGAACTCTGGGCCTGGGCACTGTCCCTCAGCTCTTCAGCTCAAGGCTAGCGCTCTACCACTTGAGCCACAGC